CAGGGCCGAAATAAACACAATCATGAGAACCAATTGTGTTAGGGAAGAGGCTACGTGAAGTCTATTCAATCATGTTCACTATTTAGCCAGTAAGTCCGATGGGCTTTTAACAAGGAAAGTTCAAGGCCAAAAGTTACCTATCTCGATACACAATCTTTTCAAAGATATACTCTCTATAGTGTGTTAGTATTATCATTTGCATATTAACAGCCAATTTTTCATTTATGTGGGGGATTGTTGGACCAAAACAGTGTTTTAAGTAAAAAAATTGAATTTTTGGTCGACTTTGAGCCTAAATTAAAGTGGAACTCATTCGTTGTTTCGAGTAAACTTTTGTGGGTTCGTATTCTACTCCGTGAGGAGAATAATGTAGTATATTTATTTGCTTAAATCGAGTAAGAAATTAATGAGAAAATAGACTCCAAATTGACCATCTTGAAATATGAAAATAATGGTTGTGCAATATGGAATTTTATACTAATCACACATTGGTTGACAAAGAAATTCTACATGGGTATATATATGTCAAGTTTGTTCTAAGAAATTGGGCTCGAAAGGGTACCATAATTTTATGAGCGGAGCGAGTGCCTATATGGCTTCAGTTCAACCACACACGCGCGCGCGTCGCTTGCCTGACTTGCCTTGCCTTGCCTAACCACTATCCAGCCGGGCCCGAGCACGAGCACGGGCATGAATACGGATGTGGTTTAGACCAAATCCTATTTTTTTAAAAAAAATTGGTTTAATTAAGTGGGCGTGAATTTCTTAACTCAAAATTTAATTTTCGGAATCCATTGGATCGTACTAGTTCGGATTTTTTTACTGTGTAACCGCACTTGATTGTTACCGTTTTGTTATACATTACATGTTTCAAATCAGAAATTTTAATAAGTGATTTTATTATATTTGAAATATCACAAACAACACATTTCAGATGAGACTTTTCAAGAGAGAGAGGATAACAAAAATAAGCTTGTTCGAATCGGGCACATTATTGATACGACATTATTGTTAAATTTGCAAGATACCCAATGCAAACCCTAAAAACCTGTACCTGTACATGTACCTGTACGAACCTTAAAGACTGAATATTGAGAAAATCAGTGTGTTGAAGGAAAATATCTCACCGTTGAACTTTATGTGAAACCTATTGTCCTTATATAGACCAACTTTTGTGATAAGTTTATAAATCCTTAAGGGTTTTGGAAACGTAAGATTGTTTAGGAAACGAATGGACTAGGCGGGCCAATGGGCTTGGCGTTGCATTGGGCTGTCACCTGACAATGAAAATTAAGGGTGTCAAAATGTGTCGTGTTAGGTCGGATTTGAGTTCTTGTCAAAAAATTCTAAACTCAAATTTGACACATTTAATTAATCGTGTCAAGTTGTTTAAATTCTAATCTGACACTGACAATTTAACGAGTTATCTAAATCCAACTTATTTAACCTATTTAATTTACGGATTGGATTTGAATTAACACATAATACAACCTGTTTAGCCTATTTAACACTTATAGGGACCTGTTTAACCAGTTTCACAAATCACCTGTATATCTTCATAGATTTAAAATATTCGACAGACAAATATAAGATTTAAGTCCTGAGAAGGGACGATTGGCGACGATCTGAGATATTCGATAGCCCTGAGGAAGGACGACGCCGGAGTGAAGCCCTTTGTGCACAGCTTGTGCTTGCAACTTTCAGCTTCAGCCTTTGTGTAAGTGACTCATGTGACGAACAGGCAATAGAGGCAGCGGCTCTGGTAGGTGGATAGGAAATGAAATGGTTTTAGGGTTAAGGTTTTTTTAGCTTGTATATACTTTGATAAGCGATTAAATGAGTATACAACGGATTAGGTCGGGTTCAAGTTCATCTCAGGTCAACCCATTTAAAATATATGGATTAATTATGTTAAAATTGGGTCAACCCAAGTTTAACTTGAAACCAACACATTTTTTTGGGTTTAAATGTGTTGACCCATTTTTTTACCTACCCATTTAATTTTGTGTTTGATCCATTTATTTCGTATTCAATTCATATCATATTTTGAAAATGAAAACCAACAGTAATTGGGATTGAAAGGTAGCTTTCCTTATTGAACAAGAAGTATACTTCTTATGCATTGAAATTTGAACTTACTCCATTGGTCTAAATTATTGACGTCATAAATTATTACTATTGAAATAATAGTGTAACCAAATGTTAATTGGAATCTGCTATCATTTAAAATGTAATAATAGATTACTTTTTTTTTTTGAAAGTAATAATAGATTAATTGACTTATTCTATCAAAAAATTAAATTTAAATAATATTGGTGATAAATTTTTAGTACGAAGAACAATAGCCGTCTATACTTGGATTTCCATCTTCCAAAATTCTGTTTTCTAATATTTTTTGAAGACTGTTTCTAAGAAAAAAATAATTTTATCATAGCAAAAAGCATTTTAGTCACTATATGATAAAAGCAATCCATATGAATTTTTGTATGTAAATAATAGGATGATATATGTTCATATTTATATTACTACACATGCTATTAAACTTGAACGATGAAAATAGATCCAAATAAACAGGGCCGGCCCAAAAATATTTAAGGTCATGGACAAAATTTTTAGATGAGGCCCTAAATTATGTATAATTGAATAATTAGATTATTTTAAAATTTTAAAATATTAAATTCATATCTTTTAGTAGATATATTCAAGGTCAAAAATAACTTGCAAAATAAACACATTATGTGAATGATTATTTTAAGATCAAACTATCTTAAAAAATTATAATTCAAGAAAATTAAACTAAATGAATATGTCAGAATTATTGAGAATTTAAATAAATGATAGAGTAGAGTTTTGTAATTTTTTGTACAATAATATCGTGCAATCTTTTTTTTTTTACTTTTTTTAATGTACATATATTTATAATTTTAAAAAAAATATTCTTAAAATTTTTAATCACTTGACATAAAATTCTAAAATATTTATATTTTTTTAAATTTAATTATATCATTTTAAGAGACATACACGAATTGAGCCCTTGGCGGCAACCTCACTTGCCTAGAATGGCGCTGCATGCAAATAAAACAAAAATATAAGTAAACAAGCACTATTTAAAAATATTTTTTAATAAAAATGAGAGAATAATGTCCAAAACAGGCTACGAAGGCCGAAAATTATCCCAGGCTAAAACCCAACCAACCACTCCCAAGTCCAGACCCGCACAGGCGGAAGGGTGCGTCGGTATGTCCTCGTTTTACATATATGGGGCGTTTTGTTTGGTATGTTAAAAGATGTTATTTGACTAAATTAATCCAATAATCACTTAATACTAAGTTTATATCATGTTATAAGTGTTGATATTAAAGATATTTTAGTACTAGTCGAAAAATAAATTGTCATTTAACGCTTCATATTTAGTATAAACAAATGTCCTAGGTGGTATTTTACTTGACATGATTGGTAGTACCATACAAAATGAGAAGACTATACCTATAGGTTAAACAATTATGTATTGATGTAGGGTTTTTTTTTTTGAACTCAATACGACTCACTAAATACTTTATCCAAATATGATATTGGTATTAGAATAATGGACTCATATCTTATATTAACATGGATTCAAACATGATGATAAGATAAAATGGTGGATATTATCACTACTGTGAATTGAAATGAAATTAATTGTTCAATCATATCCTATACTAATACCCAAACCAAACATGCTTCTAATAATACTATACAAACGCATTCTTCTATTTATTTTTTTCCCTCACCGATGCAGTTGGTTTGAAGGAATTTAACAGGTGTTTACCGCTTTACATATAGTACGGTTTTATTAATTTACCATTGAATAATTTAGTACTTCCTATCTAGATAAGGTAATTATGAGAAATATTATTTGAATCTAAAAATTTGACTTAATTTGTTGATATAGTGATGCGACTTCATACAGCGAATACTTATTTTATTGTAGGCAATATTTATGGTAGAAGTAATTAGGTAATACAAAAAAAAAAAATTTTGAAATGTGTACTTAATGACTATCATTTGATGATCATGATGACTTAATAGATAATAAGTTTTGTTGCGGTACTTAAAACAAAATAAGTTCTAAAAAAAATACTCACGGTCAAATACCCGTTATTTTTAATACTGTTGAGTTGACCCTTCACGTCAACTCTAATTAGTTATCCGTTGGTGTGTTTACTTAGGTATTAGCAAAAAGAGATTGAAAAAGATAACGTTGGCCCCACCTTATCCCTCTTATATTGATTCGGTATTATCATCTAAAAATAATACGGCCTCTTAAATAAATACACCTTTTTTGTAGGTTTAAATAATCCGGTTGGGATGTATTTGAATAAAAGACATTTTTACCCTCAAAAATTTCTAAGATATAAATATCAATCTTTAATTTGAGGGTTCTTTAGAAATTTAATGTGTTTACCATCGTTTAATACTTCTCCAAATAAAGTATTGATGGGATAAACATGGGGTTCACTATTTCTTAATATTTGATTTAAACATGGAATAAAGAAGCATTATCACTATAACTAATTCAAGGGTTAGACGGATAGGTATAGAATGGACGGATTTGTCCAATTCAATCTTTCCTAATGCTTAAACCAAACACATCCCGATGGGTTATTTAGCGATTAGTGAATATCCACCGCATCACTCTTCAATCCGCTATGGTTGAGAAATCTTTGAATATGTTTTAGCAAGATTCCATAAGAGGGAATCTTGACGGATCCATAAGGTTGCTATATCACTATGTCGAGTGATAAAACCAGTCTCACCGCGTAAGATTGTATACATTTGAACTTTCCAAAACCGTAGTGAATGGAGCCTCATGCCCTGAGTTTTTTTTTTCCACAAGAAAGCCTGCTCATTAGAGAAGACAAGAAAACCTCTAATTGGTAAGAGGCAAGAAAACCCGGCTGGTCCAATAAAATTAACAAAAACTTCGTACATTCATTGGTAAAACGTCAAAAAACATTGTAATGAGAGAACAGGATTCAAAGAATGAAAGAATGTCTCCGCCTCTTTACATATAGCCATTTTGTTGAAATCAATACTTGTGAGAAAAATACCACATATAATAATCAACACTCTGTTCTTCATGTATATGAAAAGGAAACTAGGTGAAATGCTCAGTTGGTGTTGGTGTCTATACACTTCAAAACTCTGTACATCACACCCAGCAATAAACAGGCCAAGCACATTACATGGACAGACCTCTAGAACCTGGAATATCAATCCACTGCAGCTGGAGTTCTACTTCACCTCGCTCGACATTTCGCAGTTTCAGAACCAAATTTTGGACAACTTTGCCGTTTGTCCAGATAATACAGCTTTCTTCAGCAAGGCAGTTTTCCCGGCTTGGTTTAATTTTTGTGATTATGGTTTCATTAGGGAGGTCTTGCAAGTGCATCTTCACAGCTTCTACGAATGGTTTAATGTCAAACTCTGCATCTCCCATTTTGTCATCGGGCGTGAATGTATCCTTGTCGTACACCATCTGCAAGTAGGAAGAATAAAATGGTAAATGAATCATTTATGTCACTCAAGGATTGTCAAATGTTTAATACAGATTGCTATTATTCTTTTAATCCCTTCATTGTAGATGCTATATGAGGCTGATTAATTATGGGCACTATTCATGTGTAGTAGTTGTTTTTAGTGGTCTATAACTCCATACATTTGGGAAGATTTCCACAAGCGCTATGAAGCAAATGAACATATAGCATTTGCTAAACATGGAGTTATCTCAAGAACTTCAATGCCTTTTATTCCATTTCCTTTATTGATTTAGTTTATAGGACTTCCTAAGAGGAAAAGTCCGAGATGTAGAGGATCTCATTAGTTTTCAAATCATCTTTAATGCTGAATACCGGAAAGGGATTAATCGATCATTTCCCTTCTCACCCTAGCTACTGAGGTACTCATTAACTGAATCAAGCAACTCCATATCTTTCCCCTAATCTTTCTATACTATGAGACACTATGTATAGGCTACACACTATTCTCGTATAATTCAATTGAACCAGAACCAGTTACAAAATACTTACTAGCTTGATTGGAGTATTTGGGTCTGAGACAGAGAGTGTCAGATCTTCATTCCACTCGGGATTGAGATTCCTCTTTATCACACGAGTCTTTAATTTCTGTTCCAGTATCACATTGATTAACATTAGCAAAAAATAAACAAATGGAAGCTTCAAATGTTGAATGCAAGCATTTCACCGAAGGTGAATTGAGATACCTAATACGATTAATGCTAGTTTACTTAATTTAAAGACATAATTTAGAAATCTAAGTGCTTATAGAAATTGATACTCGACTTCATTCAAAGTTAAGACCCACTGCTAATCTAATTACCACAATATCTTACCATCGTAGATTAGGTCTCAGCAGCACTGTTGATACATAAATTCCTTTCAAATTCAACTCTCTTTGGCATTTCGTGAGAAAAAAGTAATAACTTGAAAAGTCAATGGAAGAAAATATAGGGATATATTTATTATCCCTGCAAACAGAGTACAGATCCTTAGAAGTCTATCAGAGTCTGTTTGAGAGAGAGAGAGGTCCAACAAAGAAATAGGCTAATATTTTCCGAGAGGAAAGGAGGGGAAGAAGAAGAAAAGGGAAGAGTAAATTTTGGGTGAAAATAAATCAGGTAATAGTTTTCCCCAAACCAAAAGAAAACAACATGACTTAACACAAGCGGAAAGTCAGACATGCATATATACATCTGCTGAAGTAATGTTCAGCCAGAAAAGCAAGAAAGAAAAAACTGATCAAGAAGAAGAATTGGATGGTTTAATTTTCTTGGTTTGATCTACCTTTTATGTCAGAGAAGATTGAAGTTTTTTAACAGTCAAATCACAAACTATTCAAAGAAAAAAGTCCCAGTCAGATTACATCAAATTTTCTCTAGCCAAGCTCAGAACTATCGAATCAATCCAAGAATTCAATAAAGAAATGAACCCAAGAGCTGAAATTATGTAGAAGGGCAAGACATTACCTGTTTGCCAAATCTAACAATAACGTAAGGGTCGCTGCTCTTGAGATCTCTGACAGCAAGGTTTACACCTCTGTGGACATGAATTCTGAGAAGACCCAACAAGTGTTCCATCGGAGATTTTAAAGTATCAGACAGACTAAAAGAATGAATCAATGAATGAAGTGAATTGAGAAGATCAATTATGGAGAAGAAGGGTCTTTGAGGAGGGAGAGAGAGAGAGAGTTGGTTGATGCCAAGGTCTAACGTCTAATGGTGCTTTTATACACCATAACTGTCTCAAAGTCACAAGGAAACTGCAAAAATTAATTGAAAAAAGGTCTCAAGTTGTATTTAAATTGATACGAATAACGCGCTGCTTCGGACTCTTTCCCACCATCTCCGAGCTTTCGAGAAAGAGAGAGATTTCTAGAAAGACAGACGTTAAATTTGACTCTAGCGGACTGCGTATTCATAAGTTAGGGCTGCTAATCACGCCTGCTCATATGATTTCGTATCGAATTTTAAGAGCTTTATGTTAATAAAATATTTTATCCATATTTTATTTTTTTATTAATTTATGTCTAATAAATTATATTATATTGGGTATATATTGTACATGAATCATGTATGACTAATATATAAATAAATCGTGTTAGATATTTATTTTAATTAACTTCACTCGTATCTAATTTATTTATTAATTGTATCGTGTCAGATCCACTCGTTTACGAAATAAATAGACTTAAAAAAAATCTAAATCCTCTAATTTTCTTGTCATGTTTGCATCATTATATATTTTAACACCCCTAACTCGATCATTCAATTTGATTATTAGATAAACAATGCTTTATAACTCATAGAGAACCTAAAAAATTATAACTCAAATACATATAATTCCTTATATTAATAGGTTTCATCAATTTTGTTAGTGGAATCCACTCATCTAGCATCCATTTGAGAGATGATATTCATTTGAATTTTAGTTTTTTAGTTTCATTGAATTATATAGCATTTTTCTTGTTTAAATTTAGTTCATATTAAATGATAGGTGTTTTAGATTATTTAAAATTGAATCCTATTCGATTTTGGGACTTATTGGATAACACTAGTTAGTTAACTTTATAATTAAATTTGAATTTCAAATTTGGTTCAAATAACCTAACTCCATTGATTAATGCTACATTGACTTAAAAATTAAACTTAATGATCTCAACAATTGATTTCACTGTGGGTCTCAGTATTTATTGGGACCCACTACCTATTTAATAATTGAGATTATCAAATTTAATTTTTAAATAAATTTTTTTTATGTTCATGTAGCATTACTCAACTCGATATTAATTAGATTAAATAGATATTAATGGTTGAAACTTATAAAACAAATGAATGGCCCATCACATAATCTGATTAAAAAAAGCCAAAAATTACCAAAAAGGGATTGGCCTCCACTTAGCATTCAACGATTACTGATTAGGGTTCATCTCCTTCCAATTTTCATACAATTAGGTCATCTTGTAATTGCTTTGGAATAGAGAGGAATTTTTCACTCAACTAATATTATCTTATCAAGAAGCAACTTGAATTTTAAAATTTTAAAATAATTTGAAGTTGGTGAGGTGGATTAGTCTTCTCCAATAGTCAAATTAATGAAAAATTCTCCAAGTATTTTAGTAATTTGAGAGGTGCCTGCCTACCTTTGACGATTATTGACAAGTGAAAGAGATCATAACCTACAATTGGCTTCAGCTGTCATTTTGTTTATAATTTTTCATTTTGGGAAATTCCATGAAGTATTTAATCAACTCAGGCCGGCTCAACAATATAACAAAAATAGTTAAAGTTGATGGGTTAAGCCCAAATAGTCCAATTTATATGTTAAAGTCCAACTCCAGTTGAGGAGCCCAACCTCATTTTGAATCTACCAAACTCAAGACAATCCAAGACCAGTTAGACTTTTTGCTTAGCACGTCATCAAGAGGAGAGCATGAGAAGCTTATCTGCACCACCGAAGGAAACGGTCCAAGCTTTGACCACGTTTCATGAAGAGCTCCCCAACCTCCTCCTTCCCTTGAGGATAAGTCATGATCTCTACCAGAATGATCTCTTAGTTGCGATAAAGTAGCCTTGAGAATAAGTCATGATCTCCACCAGAATGATCTCTTAGCTGCGATAAAGTAGCCTTGAGGATAAGTCATGATCTCCACCAGAATGATCTCTTAGCTGCGATAAAGTAGCCTTGAGGATAAGTCATGATCTCCACAAGAATGATCTCTTAGCTGC